CAGAGCATTCATAAGTTTGATTCTGTGTTTCCTCAGGTGGTTGCTATAATACAGAACAAGAACATTAGAATACAGAAGAACTGACAAAGACTTTTTAAGCTTCCAGGGACGGCCGTTTAACACATCGATCCATGGAAAATACACTGTTCCTCCAAGCATCCATGCTAGTAACATAGCTGCATGTCACATGATACAGCAGAGGAGCAGTTTTTAACTTTTTTCTTGTACAACCTGGAGTTTCAGACATTTGGCTGCAGAGCCACATGTGACTCTTTGCCCATCTTCAGTGGCTCCCTGTGGCTTTACCAAAATAACTAGACAAATATGAATACGGCTTATTGTGTAACATTTGAAATGTTTATCCATCGCTGTTGTGACCTTTTACATTTTCTTACTTTCAAACTGAATAAGCTACGATTCCAAAGATCCTGTTTTATTAGTAACATATAATTACTGTTTATTTTACAGCTGGAATTTCATGAATAACACTTTATTTTACTATTATTATAATGACAATACAAAATTAAAATACCCGATCATAGAGAAAAAAATGGTAACAAAAGACAACAGGAAGCTGATGCGTTACCTTCAGGGGAATGTCGTGTCCATAGTTTGATCTGAAGTTAGAAGCTTCTTCTCTGGCAACTTCAGCGAGTGAGCGAGCATCAGCTAATAGGCCAGCTACTGCCTGTTGAGAGAGAAGCTTTACTTACACATATTCATGTCACAATAAGTCTGTGAACACACAAAATAAAATGTTTCACAAACAGAACGTGGTGACCATTTCAGAAAGTGATATCCTGCAATTTCCAGGTACAAACATCTCTAAGTGAGACGGTGAGCTGCGGATGGAGCAGGCCAGAAGAAACAGCGTTTCGGTCTCATCGAAAGCTTCAGTATGTTCAGCATCTTCAACATCCAAGAGATCATTTGGATCGCAGACTGGAGCAGCTAGGGATCGAACCACCTTCAGATTAGTAGATGACCTGCTCCACCTCCTGAGCTCCTGCTACACCATTTATCCATCTATCACAACTGGTCCAACTTCCTTGGACCAGTTGTGATAGAGCGAGCTATTGTAGCTCAAACTGCAGAAACAGTTCATGCTGGTTCTGATACATGCTGAGCACATCCCCTGCTCAAAGTGCCGGCCATGGGCATGTGAGCATCAGAACCGGACCACGGTTCTTTTACACCACGTGGCTGGCTGGGATAGTCTGCATGGTTTCCCTGGGAACACCTGGCACCAGCATACACTACGGGAAAAAGGGAAGCTGGCAGAGGCAGTGTGACGCTTTGGGCGAACTTTGGGTCCTACCCTCTACAGCACCTTTTCCACTACTAACTACTCAAATCAACTCACCATGGCTTGCCACGATTCAGATCAACGGGTTTTCCATTACAATCAATTACCACCTAATGTGCATGGTCGTTGTCATAGCAACGCATGTCCCGTGATATAATTAACGCTACAACAAAGGTTGATATCGAGGCAAGAATATAGCTGCTGCTCGCTCACACAGCAAAAACCATCAAGCTGGTGCTGCAGACACCAAGTTAGCCAAGACAGCTGACAGCTTATCACTTTGTGTCAAAGGTTGTCTTTTTAGTCTGGTCTATGAGGCAATGTCGCTTTTGACACTATCCAAAAAAAAGATGAGCATGAAGACAGTTTTCTTTGCGCACCGATGCACACATTTATGTAGCACACTGAATAGACCTGAAATGTTTTTGACGGCTTGTGTGGTTACCATGCCAATGTGTCTGTCGATGTTAAAGATGCGTTTGTTGGAGCCCTCCTCGTACAGTTTAGACAGGACTAGCTTCTCCACCCCGAACACCACCCCATCCTTACAGCGGATTCCAATGGCTGTGCTGAACATCACAACATGGAGACATACTTGCAAATTTGATCATGACATGTCTGGAAACTATTCAGAATTATTAGCACCATTAGCACTCTGGGTTAGGAAGTCAGTTGGTTATCAACACTGTAGAAAAACAATTTTTTCTTCATATTTACCCACCACATCACATTCAGCGGGGTCTGGTTTTAGTTTAAAAACATAGAGACTGACCTGCTGTTCTCTACAGCCTTCATGGCATACTCCACCTGAAACACTCGACCATCTGGAGAGAAGGTTGAGGCCGACAGGTCATACTGCAAGACAAAACAGAAATAGCAGCTTCCAATATTAAACTAACTACTGATATTAGTAGCTGGAAAGGACAGGTATATAATCAAACTCACACTTTCATGTGGCCTTAAAGTTTTAATTAATTAAAAAAGAGGGATGACTGACTTGTAGTCTAAAATCATTTGCCCAACTGCCAAAACATGTGCAAAATATATTCAGGGACTGTATACCTGAACCCTCTGAGGAATACACCCAGACTTAGCTTGGTGTGTTGGTAGAATTCAGGAAACTAAAGTATATTTCATTCTTTGTGTGAACTGGACTACTTATATTCACTTTCACCTCAGGTGCACCAAACACCTCATTGGTACCCTGTTATCTGACAGTAGCAAGGTAAATGTTTATGTTTTTAAAAAGATAAAGTTTTGTTTTTTTTAGAAAGCCTTTGTTAAATAAAATGAACCCCAGTGATAAAAAGTTACTCTTCTCATAGAGAGAATTTAGCTGGCACGCAATTCTGAGTCATTCTGAATCCAGTTTGATGGAGGCTAACATCTAAACACATAAATATCGTGAATTCCTGTAATTACAGTGATAAAACGGATAATTAACGCCACAGTAGAAAGCTTTTTTAATTCTTATAAATTGTTAAATTGACAAAAAAATCCTGAATCGGGACTAAATTAAACTACTTTCAATTTCAGTTTAGCTTCTGTTAGCAGGCCTCATTGTGACTCAGCAGGCTAACACTCTAGCTAGCTGCAGACTGAACTGAATGAACATAATTTGAACTATAAAAGCAGAATATTTTCCGGAAAACAGGACTAAAGACAGACTGATAAACGTACGAGTGTACGTAAGTTAAAGCTTCTTCTCAAAAAGTACTGAAACACTCACCCCAGTCCCGATAGAGCTCATTTTAATACCGACTGTAAATTCTACGCATAGGTCCCATAAAGCGCTCTCAAACCACTCTTCCGGTGCCTCCTCACGCGTTTCACACAAACTTCCGGTGACAGCCTTTTACAATAAAAGCTTAAGTTACATTAAATATAGTTTTTAAAGCACCACGGTTAGGTGTATTTAAAAAATAAATGTCTGACAGATGATAGCTAGATATGGCATGGCGCTGTAGTGATTCATAGACTCAAGATGAAATAGTGAAAATAAATAAGTAAGCATTTCTGGAGGATTTTAAATACATTTAAGTAAATTGTACGTGGTTTTAAATATTTTTTTTAGCAAAAGATTATCTTATATTACAACAAACTCAGATGAAGATTTTTATTTACCATCTAATCTTTGTAAACCATAAGATAAGATAAGATGCTGTGAAGGGGATTTTCTTATTCAAAGAAACAACTCTACAATCATCCATCCATTCATTCTAGTCTTCTCTGGTCTTTTTTTTTTTTAAAAATCCTTTTTAAGAATTGTTTGGGAATTTGCCCATTCCTAAAGTTCTTTCTATCGCTCTGATAAGTTTCTTTTGGTTTTTATCAACCAAATCTCTTTGACTTTGGACCTCATATTAAGAGTTTCAGTGAAAAATTATCAAATGCAAGTTCAGCAGTTGGACTAAATTCCAAGTCTGTATTTTTCGGCTTGTATTGGGCTGAAGCAATAACAGCTGAGTTCATGTAACACTGATTTCTATGACAAGCTGGTGCAGTCTACATGTGGTTTGTGGACTTGGAGAAGGCATTCGACCGTGTCCCTCGGAGTGTCCTGTGGGAGGTGCTTCGGGAGTATGGGGCGGTAACCCTATCCTGGGCAGGGTGAACTATTCCCTTTTTGTTCTACTGATAGGGCTCTTTTGAATTACTTTTTGTCTGGTCCCTCACCAGGCAAGATAGACCCTGGTGGATTTTGATTGTTTGAGCCGGGGTTTTTAGGTGCCTGCTCTCAAAAGCAGTAAATTGTTTTATTTGACTGGATCATTATTTTCATTAAGTTGAAGCTCCAAGAATTTAATTTGTTTTTATAAAATTTCAGTTTGATTTTTGTAACAGGCTTTAAATCTTATGCTGGCACTAGCTTGGCCAATATTCAGACTAGACATTTGTTTTCGTTTCAACATATCTGAAAAATTCAGCATCTGCCATGATTAGTGCCTCTGTTCTGCCTTTCAGTCCAGGTTTCTCCAGTAGGATTTCTTGATATCGACCACTTCATCTATCTGACGACATGTACAGGAGGATGCACTGGTGCGCCTGTACATGTCGTGCAGGGACCTGTCCTTCCGTATTGCTTCCTCTTCTTGCTCCCCTCTTTCCTGGGTTTCTGCTGCCTGAGATGTTCACCTACAGTAATAGGTCAATGCAGTAATCTGATGTATTCATTGGTCTGCTTCATGGATTCTGCCCACTTCCGTCTACTTAGCGTAAGGGTGCTGGATTTGGGTTGAAACCCTCCAAGCACGGTAAGGAGCCTTCTTGTCTTGATGTGAGTGACTTCTATCGCCTCCTTTGGCCAGCTTATTCTCCCAGCAGGGTACCTGACGATCGGCAGGGTGCAGATGATTGCTCAGATCTTGTTCTTCCCATTAAGACGTGTCTGACTTCCAGAAATCCTACCAGTGACTGGACAAAGCTGGACTGAAAGACAGGCCAGAGACACTGATCATGGCAGCACAGGATCCATACCGGCTGGGGTCTGCCACACCAGGTAAGACGACAGGTGCAGGGTGTGCAAAGGTACCTCTCAGACAATCCAGCAGGAGGGTGCAAGACGGGCATACATGGAACGCCATAAACGTGAGCATAGAAGTCCCGAGGTCAAAATGGGACACGCCCTATTTATTTCGTTTATATTATGATGGATACAAATATGTCTAACCAATAAAAACAAATTGTTCAGAGATTATTTGTAAGAAAACTGTAAAGTTTTATTGAGTCTCAGTACGATCAGGGTGGATTACAGACCTGCTGAAGTTTAAACAACTAAAATGTTGTGAATTTCATAATCATCTTTTATTATTTTTGTTTCCTTCTTGAATCAGCAGAAGCAGCTTTGGTCACACAAGATTGAAAAACATTCGTATACAGTTCATTAAAAAATAGGGATAAGAACAGAAACTGTTTTCATTTGGTGACTTAACTTTTTCTTTTCAATGACCCATGAGGAGCCACCGATCAGCGTTAAGGCAAACAGAAGCTCCGCTTTCGATTAGAGTGACAAACGTCTGATAAGTGAACAAAGAATCTACAATGAGTGATGAAGATCGTTAGCGTTCATTAGTCAACTAATACAAACATGTACAAGTTTGTGTTTGTTTTTTCTATAGTGAATTTACACTTTAACAGGAACAGAGAACTGGACTCAAAACGCCGTCACACAGCAGTAGCAGCGCCACAGGAAGTCGATACACATTAAGATCCCCCCTGGACACACAAGCGCCACCAAAATAAACAGAACCGAAGAGGCAGAAAATGCAAAACAACAGGTGAGGCCATGTGTGGCACAAAAATAAAACAGCACACACACACACTTGTCTTTTACTGACTACTTTTGTCTGTTTTTGAGTCTTTAAACTTTCAAACAAAGTCAAAACATGAATCTTGTTTCCAGGTTCGTTAAAACACTGATAGAAGTTCAATGAACAGCTACTAACCAGACACTGTGGTCGACTGAGGGTTTTTTAGAGCACAAAAAAAATTAAAACCCCCACACTAATAGGAGTGCAATGCATCACAATAGAAGCCAACAGTAATACAGTTCGATACAATCAGCAACTGTCTGATTTTTCCTTCTCTGGTTAAAGCAGTAAGCTTGTTGAGCTAAAGTTATGCTGCTGTGCACTAAATAAGACTCAAAAACGACAGAAGCGGCCTTGAGATGGAGGTTGGTCACCAGCAGAGACAAACTTGGACCCGTGAGTACAGATGCAGCAGACCGGGTCAGTATCCCCTCCTAGGAGTCACATTCACTTGTTTCTCTTTTGACCTAAAATCTTTATTTACGTTTTGAAAAGGTGACAATTTTAGACTGAATCTGGTTTATTTAACTTCACAAATTTACAAAAAGTACAGAATGTCCAATCATATCCAGTTATAGCAGAATCAGACTGAAACCACAGAAACAGCTAATTTATTAGGACCTCTGAGGGAGCAGTCTTACTCTGCTGGTTATGGTGGCTCAGTAGGGCCAGTACAGGCGCTGCAAATCAGGCAAAAGAACAGTAGGACCAATACTTATGCTGCTTGAGAAAGAGGAAGATGATGAACAGGACTCAGGGCATTAAACAAAAACAAAAAAAAGACTGTCTTGTTAGTGATGATGACAACAGACTTCCTGTCTTTTTTATTTCAGACTCTTTCTATTTGTCTCCAGGTCCAGTTATCTTGGCGTCGGTTTTCTGTCCTTGCAGGTTTCACCCATGTGACGGGATTGTCCAGCTGGAAATGGGCGGGACAGAAGCCAGGGGGCATCCAGCTGGATGTATGCAGTATCAAACAGTTAAGTGTTTCCTTTCAGGATGCCCAGACAGCCCTGCAGCAGCTGGAGGTTCCCCTGCAGGTGAGACACGGTAATAGGTAAATGGACTGGTTCTTATGAAGTGCTTAATACTACAAGGATGCAGACTGGAGAGGCCAGCCAACCTTTCAATTAAGAAGGCAGCCTGCTCCTCTCCTACACTACATAATGAGATCAGACACTCCTGAACAGCTGAAATGCTCTTTTAACGGCTGGTTTCTCTGTATACTCAGTACCTTGGCGTGTTTGAGCTCAAGCTCGGCCAGCTCCACCAGGTTCTTCCTGAAGGCTGCCACTCGCCTTGTCTTAAAGTCTATGAGCTCTGTTTGGAGAAGAATGCACTGTGAAAGCAGACCGCACACACATCCAACACTCCTTCACCTGTACGCTGACATAGGAAGAACAAAAAATGACCTTGCTTGGCAGACTCTGAGATTTTCTCAAACTTGTGGCAGCAAAGCTGCTGACTGGTCTCAGCCTGCAGAACATCTCTGTTTTTGGCCCGAGCCTTATCTAGAGCCTTGTTAGCGTTCTCATAGTCGACCAAAGCCCGACTCCTCCGGTACAAGAGATCCTGCGAGGGGAGACATCATCACATAAACTGCAATATTTAACAAAGCCAGTTTTTTAACTGGTGACTTCAACTGTCAATCAGACCTTTGCAGCCTGTGACTCCCTCAAATAATATTTCAGCAGGTCGGCCAGCTTCAGGTCTTCATCTGCTGCAATGCGAGCTTCAATTTTCTGTTTAAAAAACCCCCCAAACATGGTCCCAACATTAGAGTTACTGGGGTAATAAGATAACAAGGCAAACTCCAAATTTGATCAGACATACCCGAGTTTTCTCGAACAACTCTGACACTTTGAGGAAGAACCTTAAGGAAGAAAAAGGGAACAAAAGAACAAGACAGATGTGATGCAGGTATGTTTACAACCTGGCTCTGCTCAGGACCAAATACAAGTGTTAGCAAAAATCATCACATGAAGGCAGCTCCAGGTCAAGTTCAAAGACAACATTTGTTCATACTTGCAGAGGTCTGTGGAGTCCTGTGTTCCTAATGTGTAGAGAGATGAGGCAATTCTGTTGATGTCATCAGCAGCATCTAAACAGAAAACAAATACGTGGACATCAGCGTCACACAGTTTTCCTTTATATAAAACTCCAAGTCTCTGTTCAATGAATTACTCGAGACTCTAACACAAGCCCTGAACCTGACCTTTCAGCTCATGCCACAGACACAAACATCACTTACAAAAGAAAAACGGATTTAAAAGATTCTTACTTTTGTGTGATCGGATCATTCTGTCAGACTTGGCTGAAGCATCCTTGACTCTGTTGTGATATTCCAACAGAAACGTCTTCTCGTGCTCAAAGAAATCATCCACATCCTACAGGCGCAAAAACAGCAACTATCAATAAAGAGAAAACATGGAAACCACATTTGATTGAGGTGGAAACTAGTTCCTGGGTCTTCACCTTGACTCCAGCCACCAAGACACCATCTGCCGACTTCACCACATTTTTAAAGAAATCTTCCAGTTTCTCCTTCTTGTTCTTCCCTCGTACACTCAGCTTTTGGCAACAAGACATGAAAAAGAAAAGAAAGATGAACAACACAGAGTTAGCAGGTATAGAACACCTCCGTTTTCTGTCGACCTGCTTGTTATTCCTAGGAGCACCACGAGGTCCTGTGCTGACTGACGACTGGGTCTTCGAGCTGCTCAGAAATCCTAAAAATGAAATGAATCCGGTGTGATACTTACATCCTGGTTATACTCCAGGAAGACATGGAAATTGAGGTCTTTCCTGAGCACAGGATGAGCCGCCACACGACATAAGAAGACCTCATGCATGGCTACGGTTTTCTTAAAGATGGCAAGGTACTCTCTGTGCAACAACACAAAAAGGGGCGATGTGGTGATTAATCCAGCACGTCAAACAACTATGGGGACAACAACTGCTGTCTGTGCTCACTCACGCCTCGAGCTCCTGCTTCATCTTTGTGAACTCCTCTTTAGTCATGGATCCCTCGCCCTCGCCCAGCTTCTGCAGCTTCTCTCTGGATGCATCAAAGTCTGGTCTTGGAGGTGCTGGGGGGATCTGCAACAACAACACGCATACGGCTCTACACTGAAGCCAGCTCACACTCTTTCTGGCCTCTGATGCAGGTTTGATAACTCGGTTGCACGTGCCTGTCTGCTCTTTTGCTAGTGGTGATGTAAGCTGGTCCATCAGTTTCCAGATACTGAAATATGTCGTTCAGATACTTGTACAGGCAGATGTTAAATCTGTCACTGTCAGATAACTAAATTTAACAGAATTTGGCAGGTTAAGACTAGGAACCCTCTTACTAACGTCCTGGGCCTTTTCTCTTTTGCTCTGCCTACAAATAGAAACCTTTCTTGGGTAAGAACTATTGTGCGTCTTGCCTGTGTCTGTTTACTTGTTCTTTTCAAACTTGAGCCTCATTTATTTATATTCTGATAGAAATATTGGAAGCAAGCAGAGCGATTCGAACACGTGGAAACAAATTAAAATATAATAAATAAGAAAAAAAACAGCCTGTGCAATTCAACAAGCTTGGTATGACGGCCTTTATTCAACACAGCCTGGAATGTCTTAGGCAAACGTTCCTTCCTTTAAGTAGCCGTCAGGAATAGCTCTCTGGGCAACTTGAAGGCATTCCTGTTCTTTTCTGGATGTTTCTGTTTCGCTGTATGTCCAGATGCTGCCACACTGCTTCAATTATTTCAGCAATACTCAGCAATCCTCCTTTTCTGACAATATTGTATTTTATTCTGTTGTATATATATTTATTCTATTGTGTGCAGTATCTTATTCATATTCTTATTATCTAATCCTACTACAGTATGTTTTTTCTTAACTTTGCACTGTAACAAAACTAATTTCCCACATGTGGGACTAATAAAGGTTATCTACGTCTTAGAATGGTGACTATGGGTGAAGTGAAGTCCTCTGTGCATGCTGCTCTTACGATGTATCCTGCGTATTCTTCATTTTCCACAAAGGAGTCATGCAGCCAGATGAACTCTTCATGCTGTCGGACCACCGAGAACTCGTTCTGCTTAAAGTTGGGAAGCGTGCTCTGTGCAAAAAGGAAGCACATCAGCAGTGTGCAGGTTCAGGTCTGTTACGTGTTATCGAAGTTCAGGTCTGTCAGCGTATCTGACAGCAGTCAGTCTCACCTTGGTGTGAACGGTAAATTTGACCTTGTCTCGCTCACTCAGGGCATCAGAGATGTCAACCTGCAGCATGGCGTCTGTTTGAAGGTCCACGTTGACTGCACGTGGCTGCAGGAGGACAGAGACCGTGTGTCCAACAACGCAGTGAGCAGTACAGACACACAACGAAAGCCAGCTGTCAGTTACAGTGTACTCTTCACCTACATCGTACTGTGTCACAGTACAGAACTTTGTTTGTTCAGAGGTTAGTTCTACTGATTACTTTGCATGCATATGCCATGGTCTCAGCACACAGCTGGAGCAGAGAGGATCTACCTACCAGATGTTTGAAAAGTAGTCTCACCCAAAAGGGGCAAGAGCTAAAACCAATGAACCGAGGCGCAGCATCGAGGCCCAGTTTAAAGTAAAGAAACGGAATCACTAAAGAAAAACAACAACAACTATGCAGCGTGAAAAAGAGGCCTCATATGGAGAAGGAACAAAAAATACAGCTGTGTCGCCATCCCAGTTCAACAAACGTCCTGGGACACTGCATTAAAGAACATGTAACTGCACATCCATCCGATCGTGTGCTATTGGACTGACACCTCAATTTCACTTGGCAACAATAAATGAATGACATAATTAGACAGTGACAAGTATCACACACTCGAGCTACAAAAACTACAGCACACACCTTTCTGACAGGTGTGACAGCTGCCACGGTTTTAACAAGGACCACAAGTACACAGCTATAACACCAGTGTCTTAATAATATATCTCTGTTCTATTTCTTAACCACAAACCAGAATGTAGGTCTGAGACACTTGGATCTCCTGACTGTGTGAACCTTACTGCCCTCACAGAACAGCTACATCATAAATATACTGAAGGTGCTCAGATGGGAGTAAATTCACAACTTTTCTTGCTTTTTGTTTGTTCTTGTACAACAGAAATCGTCTGTTGACTGAGGCCAGGTTCAAGACTCATTTTACTTTGTCCCATCTTTCAGAGGGGATCCTGAATTTCCTCTTTCTAAAGTCCATAAAGCACAACATACTGAAAAGCCTGCATGCACACCATGTTCTTAGGAATAAATCTATAAATCAAGCTGTGACTGATACATGAATCAGACACTTCTGTAAAAGACTTCTATAATATCATTTAGTGTATGTAACTGTATACATGTGCTTCAGAGTAAAACAACCTGTAAAAATTATTTTCCAGCTTTACTAAACGATATTACCATAAAACCACAGCTCTTTACTCAACAAGCAGCAACAATAAACCTCTGGATGTGTATTTTGGACATCTGGGTACTTTCAGCTCTGTACACACGTCAGGATGAAAGAAAAGATGGAACACAAAGCACCTAAATTATTTACAAGATAATATTTAGATTCGGGGGACAGCAGTGGTAGTTCAACCTGAACCACAAGCAAAGTGCTCGGTTACCAAGTCGGGTCAAGAGCACTGAGTAAACTATATTTAAGGTTGACTTTGGGGTTTTGTTTGTCCATCTGTCTGGATTTTAGATTGCTGGTCCCTGTGATGATGAAAGCCGTGTCGTGTTTCCTAGAATTACAGAAACATGGACACCTTTATCCAACATTGTGGAATTTTGGACTGAATTGCCCTCGTCGAGCTTCGTTGACAATAACAGGGATTATCCAATTAGAATCGGAGCAGCGTTTCAGTCATGTGACAGCTGATGGTAAAACAGCAGCGCTAGCAGCACGTACCATCAACATGAACTTCACTAAGTCAGTGGTTCGTTAGCTGCCATTTAAACTTTCACTGTAACCGTTAGCCTCGTTAGCTCTCGGTTAAGCCCAAAGACTGCAGCCGGGTCATCATCTGTACTCGCGGCTTGGAGAACCAGTCTGACCACAGCTGACAGGCTAACTGCCCATTAGCAATAAGCTAAAGTTAGCCTGGACAGCTAACTTCCCTAGAAAAATGAGCGCGCTAATGCTACCCAGCTGATTTAGCTGAATCAAACACAGAAGAGCGTCAAACTCCAACACACAGGCACACAGGTGAAAAGACACAAGGTGAACAAACAGACAGGCAGACGGACAGCACTCACTCCCCGGTCCTCCTCGGAGAGGAAGTCGGGTCCGTCGTCCAACCCTTCCTGCTGCGAAGACAAAGAGCACAGGGTTGTTTGTTTAGTTGCACACCGACCGTAACACAAACGCAAACACAACACAACAGCCGGTGGAACCTCTCGAGCTCACCGAGCAGACAACACAAGAAAAACAGAAGAGACAGAGAAACCTACCATCATGGCTGCAAATGGGTGGAGACAGGAAGTGGAGTGACGTCAGAACAGTCAGGCGTCGTCGGGCGGATTTCATGAATTTAATTCAAAACAAAATACCTGTAAAGAAAACCTACTTTTAAACAAACTAAACGAATATTAGAAAATTTAAATTAAAATAAAAGCTATAAAAATGAAATAAAAAAGGTAGAGCCAGCTTCTTCAGAACACGTTCCCTCACATGTGGAAAGTTCCTTTTTTGGAAGAACTTTGCCTCCAGTTTTGTTCATAATGGTTCTGGACATACTTTCTATGCATAACCAAGTGACGACGGAATTTGGTGGCTTCATAATCATCTCTGCTTTTGCAGATGATGTTGTTGGTGTCATCAGGTGGTAGCCTCCAGCTCACACCAGTGAGTGGCCAAGTGTGAAGGGGTGGGAATGAGAATTAGCACCTCCAGGTCTGAAGGCCATGCCCCTTAGCCCGGAGCATGGAGTGCACACACAGATAAGTTGCTGGAGGAGTTTAAGTATCTGGGATCATGTTCATGAGTAAAGGGAGTAGGAGATTGACAGGCAGACTGGGGCCATGGTTGCAGTGATGCAGATGCTGCGACCTTCTGTAGTGGTGAAGAGAGAGCTAAATGTAAAAGCAAAGCTGTCAGTTTACGAGTCGATCAAAGTCCCCACCCTCACGTAGGATCGTGAGCTTGGGTAGTTGAGATCATTGATACAAGCAGCAGAAATTAGCTTTCACTGAAGGGCGGCTAGTCTCTCCCTTAGTTAGGCAGAGGCCAGGAGTTAAGCTATTTGAGAGGAGCTCATAGTAAAGCTGCTACACCTCAAATCAAATTCCCATTGAAATTGTATTTGTCACATACACAATCAAGCCATACCATAGCCCTGGGACAGACTGGCAACCTGTCCAGGGTGTACCCTGCCTCTCACCCTGAGAGGGCTGGGATAGGCTCCCCCCCCGACTCTGACAAGGATAGATAAATAACCTAAACATCAAAAGGAGCACACCATTGAAACACATAAAAGTAAGAAAAATGAGATAAAATGAAGATTTTCGCCTTCATTTCTGCCAGACAATGCTGAAACGTTTCTAGCGGCTAGTGTCTGTCTCTGTGTCTTCCCTGTGTTTCTCGTGTCTGCGTGTTTCATGCTGCCTCTCCGTCTCTCCACACAGTAATGTCCCTGTGCTAGTTTCTCCCCTGTTCTCAGTGTTAAGCTTGTGTGTCTTCATCTACGTCTTCGTCGTGCTTCCTGTCTTATTTTGATAGTCCTTGTCCTGCACTCACTGTATTCAGTTTTGCTTCCTCTTTGTCTTGTTATGTCAGAGGATGAGGCTGGGGAAGAGCTGTCTTCTCAGCTGTTCCCCAGCCTCATCGTTATCCTGCCTGTATTTAAGTCCTCAGTGTCCCTCTGTTTGGTGTCGTGTTCTCCGTGTTAGTTGTCAGGTCAGGTCTAGTCTGTGTATGATTGTAGTTCTAGATCGCCTTTTATTTCTTTAGTGTTCATGTATTTTACTTTTAGCTTGTTTCTCCAGCAATAAAGCTGCTGCTGTATGTTTTCCGTCTCTGAGTCCTACATTTGGGTCCTAGCCTGACACACAGCTGACAATTAGCAAAGCAGTGTGAAAGAATTCCAGATCAGACGTTTTTAGTTCAACATACAAGTGAAGATGTTTGACCTTCCATCTGGTTTTATCTCATGTGCTCTTCATGCAGCTGAGTACACTCAGTGTTAAAAGCAGAATCTGTGCAGGTCTGAGATCAGTAGTTTACTGAAACACCAAACTGAATTCATGTTTCTCCTGATATACAGTGACACAGTTATATGGATGATTAATCCCTTTGGCTTTTTGTCTTTGACTTTATCAGGAAAACAGCTGCAGCTTTCGCTGACAGCACATCATGTGGTACTTAAGTGTTTGTACTTTTGGTCCGCTTGCCTCCACCCCAGAGAGAAGGGTTACATCTCCTGGGTCTAGGTGCGGTTTGCCCCTCTGAGGGCGGGGGTACCTGGACCTGGGATATAGAGTATGTTTGGGGAGTGAGACTGTCTGTGCAGTGTCTATTTGTGTCTGTCTACACGTTGGGTGAGTGTCGAGTATTTGGTGGTGCATATGGGGTGGGAATGCACGTTTGTGTCCGCGTGCGCCTGTTCGTCTGTGTCGATTGGCGGGGCCTGGGGTCTGTGGCCCGGCTGGGCTCCTTCCGGGGGGTGGGGTGCCCTCAGACCTCCGGCCTCTGGGCCTGAAGCTCGGTCCTCTCTGGCACAGCTGGCTGCTGGCAGAGCCCGCGGGCACGCCACTGCAACCCCCTCTGGCCTCTGCTCCGTAGCTGCTGGGTGACCTCTCCTTTGGGGCTCTACTCAGCTCTTCCCAGGAGGGTGGCACGGTTCCCCCCCTTTGGTGGTCCTCCTCGGGTCCTCGTACTCTGGGGCCTCTGGATGTCGGGGGCTTGGATCTCCTCCATACCTGCTTCATGCCCTGGAGGACGGGGCTGTGGCCCCCCCACACTCCCTAGCAGATCGTTACATGGAGAAACCTTTGGAATGCAAGCATGCTGATCCACACAGGTATGCACACAGGTGTACACACGGGTATTCACAGACGCGGACTAAAGCTTTCTTGGCTGCTGCCTCAAAGCACATTGTGCGCTGTCTATCTTGCGTGCTGCACAATATCGTTATTATTTAGTATCTACTGATATCTACTGCTAGCTAGCTTATTGTGATGGTGCTGTTTTTTTTATTATGTTTTTTCTTTGTTCTTTGCTTTCTCTTCTGTTTTTTTTCTCCATACAGGTGACCCAGGTGTTTGTTTGTTTTTCTTTCTTTCTTCCCCCCTTCTCACCGTCTCTTCTCCCCTCTGGTTTTCTTTCTCTCCCTCTCTTTCTTTCATTCTTTCTCCCTGTCCTATCCCCCAGTCATGTCTGTCCCGTTTGTAGCAAAATAAAATAAATTCATAATTATAATCAAGGTCAATCAAATGGACCAATATGGCAAGGCCATGATGATCCACTTGGTAAAATAAATCTGCTTGGCATCTTTCTTGGCCTTAAGACAACAATTCTGATGGCTAAAGATCCAAACCGGGGGAGGGAGTGTTTATACTTTTTTCATCAGTTAGTTATTACAAAGAGTGAACATATAAGATGATCTGTCTTTGTCACTGGGTGGTGCTGAGGTCTGAATCCTTGGGCAGCTCCTGTAATCACAAACAGGATCATCACAAATGTAAAGTTTACCCCTTAGGTCTGAAACATCCTTCCCTGTTTCACACACTGCAGGATCTGAAGTTCTGCTCCTACATGTTTTCAGCACTGCTGACATATGAACTGTTTATTCGTCGATAGTTTTAGTGAACCTTAATGTCTCACTGGAGCATATATTCAACTGAATCATTCGCTTGTCTTTATTTATTTTTTTGATGTTCATATGTGTCATACTTGGTTTAAACTTTCATTTTGATTTAAAACTAACAGTAAAAAGGCATTTTCACTGGGATAAGCATCTGAACCAGCATGTTAAAGATGTTTGTGTATACTGAACATAAGGATAATTTAAATCCCGAGAATCTGCTGACTTTTCAGCTTTATTTATATTGCGCCAAATCACAACCACAGTTGCCTCAAGGAGCTTCATACTGTCAGGTAACGACAATACAACAGGACTTCTGGGGCTAATGGTTGGGTAAGATCGGAGCAGTACCATCATAACGCTACGTCTCAGCACAGATGTGTGATTACCTTAAGGATGAAGCTATGTTGTATTTATTGTGTTTGAACATATTTCACAGTAAATAGCCACAGTTCATTTTAACCTGAACGGCAGGTTGTTTTTCCTCAGCTTGTTAGCCAGCTCAAGACAAACTGTAAACATAATTAATAACCGAGTAACCTATTTGATTGTATTGTTAGCTTTGGTTGTTAGCTACTTACCAATTTTTGTGTGTGTATGTGTGCATTTTTTTTTGTTGTTGTTGTTTTGCAACTTGGAGTTAGCATTTCATTTTGAACAAATTAAATAGAATGTAGCCGCAGTAATTTTCACCTGGCAAACAGCAGCTAAAACGTAACAATTCTATTTAGTTTAGCTAATGTGTTTTTTATTAGAACAAGCTTTACTTGTTGTTTGCTTCTCAAATTAAGTAAAACTGCAATGTCATTTATAATAGCTAGCTTTTTTGGTTACAAAGAACCTGATGTTTTCTCACAATATTGGAAATAATTATAAGTGGTGTTTTAATTTACTTTATCTTAACACAAACTCGATGAAAGGTCTAAACTGCCCCCAATTCTTCCATGTTAAATATTAACTTTCTAGCTATGTGTCATTGCATCCTTTAGATCATATTTTGACATATTAATATTATTGGATAATTTGCACAAGTTGAAAACAAATTCATTTGTTGTGTGGTTACACATGTACACATGTAATTTCTCCCACCCTACATTTAAAAGAATGAAGTGTGTTCATCTTCATCTAGTTATGAGCAGTCAATCTTTTGGGGCTATTTATGAAATCTCCTTTAGGGCCACCAAAATTCTAGGGCCGGCCCTGTGGGCCACACAGGAGGCGGGGTTTATGAGCCATACTGGAGCCAGACGCCAGGGGGCAGTAGAGACTTTCGGGGAGCTGTTACGTCGTCCATGTTTTCTACAGGCTCCATATCAGGCCGTACTACATTAACCAGAATCCTTTGGCTCTGCGTCGAAATTTTGCGAAGAGGTCAAATCAAACGGATAAATGGCAGTCAGTCAGCGCGCGTTGTAGAGTCAGGTAAAGCTGCTCGTAGTTCTTTCATTGAGACGTTTAGTTTCGCCGGTCAGCACTGAGTGCTGCTGGGTGGTGCAGCCATACATCGCCTGTTACAAAACCCAGCCGGTTGTTGCATAACACAACAACACAAGTGATGATAAGCTCACAGTCGCCGTATCCTGTTCTTTATTAGCGTCTTTTAGAAACGAGACACCAGCGAAATCCGGTCTGAGGCAAAGACACTACTTGGAGCTGTCTCGGCAGGAACTGCTTTGTGATTCATTGAGCTGACCTGCCGCTAGCTGCTCAGGGTGAGTGTCATAACACGCCGAGCCGGCTTAGGTGCACCAACACAAAGATGCTTAAGAAAAGCAGGAGACTAGTGCTTTCACTGTGTAATATTTTAATCAAGTGGCAAACTAGGTAGCTGATATTATTGCGACAACATTGCATGTATATTGTTGTTTTATTTTTAGACAAATCAGATAAACTCCAGTGATCTCCAGGCCAGGTGATTGACATATAACTGACATTTTCTATTTAAAAACAGTCCCAGTTTCTGACCGTAAATAAAGGACAGTCTGCCCTCTACGCGCAGGTGATGCTTTCAGGATCACTTACAAGATGTTTTTTTTCCCTCTTTTTTGGTGCTTAAGCCGTATCAGCTGAAGTTGAACTGGGGCTAGACTATACTCCTGTTCAGTGCCAGTTTATATCACAGTAAGTCGGTATAACCTTATTTAAACAAGTGAATCATTAACATTCATTTCTTTTAAATTGCAACCTGATAAAAGGGGAGTGCTTAAAAGATCCAAAGTTACACAGTAACAGCAATAACTCGACACCCCTACTGGTGAAATGCTTCCCCCTTTAATGAGTAAGTAAGTTTTAATTTTGCAGATAGGAATTACAAAACATAAAAAAGGACCTATTTTCCACATTTCTAGCTCCACGTTTTTATTCTTGGGCATTTATAGAGCTCTGGGCAGTTCAAAATAGTCCATATTTGTCTTATTCTTAGTCTTGTTGGGGTCCTTGGTAATGCACAAACTGTCTGAAGCCTGAACCCTCACCAAACTAAGATGCAACCTTCTGCCGTGATCAGATCTCAAATGTAGATTCATATTAAGAGGCACTTTTCTTTTTGTGTCAATTCAAAGTGCCTGATGTGAATCAGCCACAGTGAATCAACACAGCATTATTCCGAGTTATCAATGAATGAAACACTTCTTTAGCACTTTGTTGATCTCCTCCCTCGTCTTCCTCTTGCAGTGACTCATGGCTAATCGGCTCCTCAAAGTCTCCTCTCTAGCCACAGCAGTACTTGCCTCATCTGGATTTTACCTTTATAGCAGTCACCTGGACCTCAGTGACTTAAGTGTGATCCGCTTTGGACGAGCTGTGGCGACTGTGAGTTACTGCACAACACTACTTGGAAATTTCATATTCTAAAATGCCTTTAATGATAATAGCATTAAGTCCTTACAAGTCCTTCTACTAGGCAGCTATACTGGTAACACTTCTGTGAACTTGCTTATGTTGAAGCATCTTTGTATCTTTACTTCATTTGTATTTATTCAGCACCCAAGTTGCTAAACAGTGAAAGTACATTTTGAAAATAAAAATTCGAAATTTAAAACTACCTTAAGTAGAATTTAAAACAGTTTCAAATTTCAAAACCAGTACACATACAATCTGACACTAAAACAGGTAGTCTAAGGAGCTTGGAAAGAAAGTTTAAGTTTCTTGAAGATGTTTCAGCTCTCATCCCAGGAACGTCTTCAGTTCTAAGACCGAATGATGGAGAATCCCAGGTGGGAGCTGTCCTTTAAGAGGGTCGTTGGCCCACTATTGATCATGTGCCTGACCACATGAGCCCAGGCGTAGGTCCGCAGAGGTTTTGGTGAAACCATTGTGAGACCATGCCTCACACTGTTATGTGACCCATTCAGATCACCTGATGAAACGTCTTGAGGAAACTCCAGTTGTTTTTTCTTTCCAAGCTCCTTAGACTACCATGACCTGGATAAACAAGAACCTACACAGACAAAGGTAAAAGTTTCATCAGGACGTTAGTGGCTTAGAAAAGCAGAAAGATTAAAAATAAGCTTTACCAAGAAATTTAAACGATTTTACAGAGTGACTGAAGAAATCACTCTACAGTCTAAACTGTAAAAGCCCAATCACCTTTAGGGACCATGCAAGTCTTTAACAAAGTCATGCTGTAAAATGTGTTCATGAGTCAGCAACTTGCAGCTGTAGGCAGGAGCCTGACTGTGTAGGGCTTAAACACAAGCAAACTACAGGGAGTGCAGAATTATTAGGCAAGTTGTATTTTTGAGGAATAATGTTATTATTGAACAACAACCATGTTCTCAATGAACCCAAAAAACTCATTAATATCAAAGCTGAATGTTTTTGGAAGTAGTTTTTAGTTTGTTTTTAGTTTTAGCTATTTTAGGGGGATATCTGTGTGTGCAGGTGACTATTACTGTGCAGAATTATTAGGCAACTTAACAAAAAACAAATATATACCCATTTCAATTATTTATTTTTACCAGTGAAACCAATAACTCGGGCAGGGATAGCTCAGTAGGTAAAGTGGTCGCCCCATGATCGGAAGGTCGGCGGTTCGAATCCACTTAACGGCTACCCTGAGGTACCCCTGAGCAAGGTACCGTCCCTACACACTGCTCCCCGGGTGCCTGCTTAGTGGGCTGCCCACTACTTCACTGAGTGAATGGGTCAAATGCAGAGAAAAACAAGTAATTTCCCCATGGGTATCAATAAAGTATCCATTATTATTATTATTATTATTATTATTATTATAACATCTCCACATTCACAAATATACATTTCTGACATTCAAAAACAAAACAAAAAGAAATCAGCGACCAATATAGCCACCTTTCTTTGCAAGGACACTCAAAAGCCTGCCATCCATGGATTCTGTCAGTGTTTTGATCTGTTCACCATCAACATTGCGTGCAGCAGCAACCACAGCCTCCCAGACACTGTTCAGAGAGGTGTACTGTTTTCCCTCCTTGTAAATCTCACATTTGATGATGGACCACAGGTTCTCAATGGGGTCCAGATCAGGTGAACAAGGAGGCCATGTCATTAGTTTTTCTTCTTTTATACCCTTTCTTGCAGCCACGCTGTGGAGTACTTGGACGCGTGTGATGGAGCATTGTCCTGCATGGAAATCATGTTTTTCTTGAAGGATGCAGACTTCTTCCTGTACCACTGCTTGAAGAAGGTGTCTTCCAGAAACTGGCAGTAGGACTGGGAGTTGAGCTTGACTCCATCCTCAACCCGAAAAGGCCCCACAAGCTTAACTATTGATGATACCAGCCCAAACCAGTACTCCACCTCCACCTTGCTGGCGTCTGAGTGGGACTGGAGCTCTCTGCCCTTTACCAATCCAGCCACGGGCCCATCCATCTGGCCCATCAAGACTCACTCTCATTTCATCAGTCCATAAAACCTTAGAAAAATCAGTCTTGAGATATTTCTTGGCCCAGTCTTGACGTTTCAGCTTGTGTGTCTTGTTCAGTGGTGGTCGTCTTTCAGCCTTTCTTACCTTGGCCATGTCTCTGAGTATTGCACACCTTGTGCTTTTGGGCACTCCAGTGATGTTGCAGCTCTGAAATATGGCCAAACTGGTGGCAAGTGGCATCTTGGCAGCTGCACGCTTGACTTTTCTCAGTTCATGGGCAGTTATTTTGCGCCTTGGTTTTTCCACACGCTTCTTGCGACCCTGTTGACTATTTTGAATGAAACGCTTGATTGTTCGATGATCACGCTTCAGAAGCTTTGCAATTTTGAGACTGCTGCATCCCTCTGCAAGATATCTCACTATTTTTGACTTTTCTGAGCCTGTCAAGTCCTTCTTTTGACCCATTTTGCCAAAGGAAAGGACGTTGCCTAATAATTATGCACACCTGATATAGGGTGTTGATGTCATTAGACCACACCCCTTCTCATTACAGAGATGCACATCACCTAATATGCTTAATTGGTAGTAGGCTTTCGAGCCTATACAGCTTGGAGTAAGACAACATGCATGAAGAGGATGATGTGGACAAAATACTCATTTGCCTAATAATTCTGCACTCCCTGTAATCTTAAAAATGGTTGTAAAACTAACAGGTAACAATGAAGAGTTACAATAACCGATGTGGTTAAAAGCTTGGCGGGAGCATTTTCGATTAACTGTTGTCTGTGTATCTGGAGGTGAAAACCCCAGATGACAGAAAGGAGTTTATAATTGTTCCAGTCTCTAAACCAACTGGAAAAGTATCTTTTAAAAACTGAGTAGCGATCCAGTCTGACAGGTAGGCGGAAGAATTGGACGGTACCACTGTGTGTTTCAGGCTTCCAGAGAGATCTGTGGCTGAATTCAGTGTAGCACTGTTTTATTAAAATAATCAAGAAATTCAAGAAAATCAATTCACACTTTTCTATTGAGGATTTAACAGGTGGGATAGGCAGTGATGGTTTTTAACTCTTTATCCCATAAAGACAACATTTGATGACCTCCCTGTGCCTTTAGTGTATGTCAATAAAAATGTTCTGTGTTGAGCATTAGAATTTTTTCTGGGTTTTTCTAGTGGTTACTGCATAAGCAGAGATCACGCTCACTAATATCTGATTCCAACCCAGTGATTTTGTTCTTTGAGCAGGCCTGAAATATGACAGGAACTCCTCAGTTCACAAAAGAGCTTCAAAGGTTGCTCCTAGTAGGCCTTCAAAGGGTTAAAAAGAATTTTAGCTGGGAAGTTGTGGAAGATGGTTGTTCCAAGCTTCCTTGAATTTCAAACTAGCATTTGAAGCTAAGGTTTTAACAACAACGATGGAAGCTTTTAGCTTGTTCTTTCTGTATTACCTCATAGCCTTTCTGTGTTACCTCTTTACTTTTCTTAGTTTCTCATTCAAGCCATCAAGTCAGATTTATTCAACACTGTTGGTAAGTGATTTGAGAATTCCTGCATAAATCCCCAAATCATTTTAGGGCAGGTCTACAGTGCATCCAGGAAATATTCACAGTTTGCCTGAAATTCTTGAAAATTTGTTAAGAAAACTAAAGTACAACATGCATATAAGTATTCACAGCCTTTGCTCAGTACTTCATTGAAGCATCTTTGGCAGCAGTTACAGCCTCCCATGTTTTTGAGTACGATGTTACAGGCTTTCACATCTGTTTTTGGCCAGTTTCTCCTCGTCTTTGCAGAGCCTCTCAGGCTCCATCGGGTTGGATGGGGAGTGTTGGTCCAGAGATGTTTAATCGAGTTCAAGTCTGGGCTCCGGCTGCACCACCCAAGGACATTCACAGATTGGTCCCCAAGCCACTTCTTTGTTGTCTTGGCTGCGTGCTTGCGGTCATTGTCCTATTGAAAGATGAACTCTGCTCCAGCCTGAATTCCTAAGGTGATCTGAAGGCTGCATGAAGTTTAGAGGTCTCTAGTGACTGCAGCAAATTAACATAATCAACCATAAAACAATAACTATAAGAATAGATCACAGAAGTCATGTTGAATCAACACAAATTCAATCTTATGTGAATACTTTAGATTTACTGGGGAAAATTAAGTGAGGATGAAAAGAAGAAATCACATGAGCTCACCACGTGTCACTGATGAACTCATTAAAATCAAGTAAATTCAAAGAACAGTGTGGGCTTTGATGGAAAATGTCGTGCTGCTGAAAACAAGCTGTTATAATGTGTAGCTGTTAATAATTAATGTTAACAAAAGAATTAATGTTACTAATGATTCGGTGTCCAGCCTAACAGACCCAAGTCAGTGTTTCTGGCCCGTGTACATTTGCACTGGGATTCTGATATTTTAAATATTCATACAGTTTTATTAAAACCTGCTTAATTCATATGGTTTTGGGTGATTTCACTTTGAATCTGAAAAATAATGTTAGGAAAACCTTGATAAAGATAATAAAATAAAGATCATCTAGCACAGAGGTCTCCAACCTTTCTTGCGCCACGGACCGGTTTATGCCCGACAATATTTTCACGGACCGGCCTTTAAGGTGTCGCGGATAAATACAACAAAATAAAACTAGTACCGGTACCGAAAAAAAGATTTATTCATAACCAGTGTTGGTCAAGTTACTTGAAAAAAGTAATCAGTAACTAATTACTGATTACTTCCCCCAAAAAGTAATCCCGTTACTTTACTGATTACTTATTTTCAAAAGTAATTAGTTACTTAGTTACTTTTTAAAAACACGATTTACAACCTGAGTAGGTGATAAAGTGATAGATCTCTCAGCCCAATTCTACTTTTTCTGCATAATCCATCATACAAAATGTAATCAAATGGAAAAGTCTCTTTTTAAAACTTGTTTATTAGTTTTAATCTTTTAACTTTATGCATCAAGCAAACATTTAATTATCTGCAACATTCTCTGACTGGAAGAAATTAGTTTAACATTTAAACCTATTTTCTGCACATTCCAGCACATAAAATAAAATCGTTTTTGTGTTTACACTCAGTCTTTCAAATAGATGCAAGTAAAACAGCAGAAAATAAATAAAGTCAAAGACTCAGCGGTCCTGTTGCTCTATTTTCACCTGTAAAGCAGGAGTGGGGCAGGTGGAGGTTTACCCTGGTGCAGGTGTGCTGCGGTCAGTGGAAGAATCCGCGAGTTTCTCTGTGAGTTTCCCATTATGTCGTAGCTACTCGGTGCTTGTTTGGAAGTTTAGGGGTTTTTTCACTGTAAAAAGAAGTTTTCTTCCCACGCACAGTGGACACTAATGTTTTTGTCACTTTTTATGGAATCAAACTCAAAGTAAGGTCAGTACTTCCACGCTTTAAACGCTGCACGCTCATACTCTCTCTGCACTCGATATGTGATCCACTGTTGATCTGCACACAGCTGTTGTCACTAACGTCACACTCGCTTACGTCACTGTCGTGAGACATTCTCGCAAAAAATCACGGTTTTAGTAACGCAGTAACGCAGCGTTCCTACGGGAAAGTAACTGTAATTTAATTACCGTTTTTGCAATAGTAATCCCTTACTTTACTCGTTACTTGAAAAAAGTAATCAGATTACAGTAACGCGTTACTGCCCATCTCTGTTCATAACACACGTGAAAAGACCCAGGAAAACCGATTTAACGATAAAAACGATAACAAAATAACGCTGAAAACCCATAAAAACCCTGAAAACCATACATTTCATACCTGAGTCTCAACTCTCGCGGCCCGGTACCAAACGACTCATGGACCGGTACCGGCCCGGGGGTTGGGGACCGCTGATGTAATACACCCTCCTTCAGATTCAAGTGGGACAGCAGACATGCGCCTTCAGCGACCTGCCTGATTGAAACATTGTATCAGACTAAGTTAACAGTCAACAGCTACAAAGTTACTTTCTTCACATTGGAGTTTGTCAATCAGGTGCTTGGATGAAGGACTCCCACCAGCTTTTTCCTCTTTGTGCTGTCTGCAGACTGACTCCATGTTAAACTATGACAGCGCCATCGTCACTGCTGTTGTGTCATCAGTGTTTTTGTTTAAAAATCATACTTTTTATTCACACGGATGCTCCAACATCCTCCTGTGTTACTTCCAGCTGACCTTTCTTTACCTGGATGATCCTGATGAAATCTTTGGCCTCAGCAGAGCTGTTACAGATATGTGGCCTCTCCTTATTGTCATGAATGCGATGTTATGCCATGAGCTCCCGAGCTCGTCTCATCTTGTTACTCCAGGAGCCACGTCCTGATAGAACATCACTGGCTGCTTCCAGGAGAAAATCTCCTTTTTTCAGCCTGGCTGCTTTCATCATTGCTTCTTTGTCCTTATAGTTAAAAACCTTCATTGTGAGTGCTGTGTTGTTGTTCACTGTGTACACCTCTCAGTGATATGACATATCACATCAGCCACATGTGCTGACGGTGAACCTGCTCTCATCCGTGAACACCACAGAACGTCAGTAGTTGTGAAAGACTTGGAGCCACACAGCGTTCCCTAACTGTTTCTTTCTTCCTTTAACTTTATGGCACACACAACGCTTGCAGCTCGGCACCTTTGGTTTCTCCGTGGCCAGCTTTCTGGTTGGCTCCACACTTCACTGCCTGTCCCCGGTGTCACTAAAGAGGGAACAGAGCTCATCAGTGTGATTCCTTCCAGCTTGTCCTCAGCCTCCGTGGCGCTGCCCCTCGAGCACACCCCTGCCACAACGGTATTTTATGGAAAATTCCAATCAGGCTTCACGGTGCCAGGCAGTGATCACAGGACCCACTAGAGGAATTTGGGCCCTCAGGCCACGCTCACAAAGTCTTTCTGTTTGTTTGGTCAGAAACTGGAGGTAATTTTGTACGGCTCTGGCAGTGCTCATCCTGTTCCTCTTCACACAACTCGCTGTCTGTCTGCTGGAATCTCTTAATGGTCTTGAGACACTTTTGGGAGATACAATAAATGGCAATGGAATGGTTTAATGTGCTGTCCTTGAGCAGCTGGGCTACTTGTGTAACCTCTATAGCAGGTGTGTTGACCTCAAGGCCTCAAGGGCCGGTCCTGCAGGTTTTAGATCTCACCCTGGGTCAACACACCTGAATCACATGATTAGGTCATCACCAGGCCTCTGGAGAACTACAAGACATGTTGAGGAGGTCATTTAGCCATTTAAATCAGCAGTGTGGGATCAAGGACACATCTAAAATATGTAAAAATTGTGTATGTTTCTGTTCTGTGTCTTGTGTACTGTTTGTTTGTATATGTGTGTCTTTCTTGCTGCTGTTACACCCAAATGTCCCCTTGTGGGACAATTAAAGGATTATTCTATTGTAAAACCTGCAGGACACCGGACCCGGAGTTCCCCCACCCCTGCTAGGATCAGGTGTCGTCTATCCTTTATTGTTCCTCATTGGGGAAACTCAGGTGTTCTAGCAGCAAAGTGACAGGCAAATGGAGCGTGCAGATTCACACAAAACTAAAGAGTAAATAAAAAAACAAGAAGTAAGAGGCTAGATCATCAGGAGCTTCATCAAAGGTGTCCACTTGATTTTATTGACTGTTTAACACATAAAAGTTCTACACCACAAAAAAAAATCGAATAGAATGAAGCCAGGAAAATACATGTTTATATTGACTATTATCTTAAGTTGTGAACATGTCTTATTTAGTTTTTGGATGTTAAACTGTTAAACTATGTAAAATCATATATACAGAAGCAAGAATGTTCTGATTCCCATTCACAGAGTTATTCACAGCATTCTCCTCCTACCACAATACAATGTAGGGTTAGCACATACGATGACTTAGACCTCAGAAGGTTAGTAACTATTCTTCCACTTTGCAGTTGAAAATCTCTTCATGTCATTTGTTTGTTCGTCTGCAGACAGCAGTCATCAGCTACGACTATCTCACAGCTTTCAGACACGTGGAAAATGGCACAGACGAATACTGGCACCTCAAGTCAAAGGTAGAGAACCACTTTGTTTCTTTAGAATTGGGGTGGGTGAAATGTTGTTGTTGTTGTTGGTGATGAGCTGAAGGTGAACCAGACTGCCCACTGTTCTCATCACACTTCTTTCTCCTGTTTGTGAAACTTGTTCCTCGACAAACTAAAGAAGGCATATTTAACTATTCAGGGACATCATCATCATCACTGTTTTGGAAATGTGGTTTTCAGTACCTATTTAAGACTATTTTCTAATTTTGTCTGTCCAGAGATGCAGAGAAAATACTATGTAATGTTTTTAATCCTCTGAGCTTGAACCCATGGCAAGATTAGGGTTGGGCTTTAATGTAACCCTGCAGGCTTTTTAGAATAATAAAATGACTTTCTGGGGGTTAAAACGAAAGAAGGTTTTGATGTGTGTCTGTTTGAATTGTCATTTATTGTCCTTTGATTTCAAAGACTTGGGTTAAATGACAACGTTACAAATGAATCCAGATCAGTGGGGCACAGTGACCAGTGTTTGTTTTGTTCACTGCATACAGACCTTGTTTCATGTTTATAAGGTGACTTTAATCATGACACTGTTTTTCTTAAAGTTGACATGTTCAAATTCCTTTGAATTGTTAGTCTGCTGCGTTCACATTTGTGCTACAATGAGCAGGGTTTGTGTAGCTTCGGAGGAAAACGGTGCCACACATGGACAATACTTTTATTGTACAAAAGGGCGAGAGTGCAGTGGTAATTTGCAGACTGCACCCAGGACAGAAACATCTGCATTATACTGCTAACAGAACTTTAGCTCTTTGCTAGCACCTGCACAGACAGCAAGCTAACGATAAGCTAGCAAAGAACCCAGAGTGAGGTTAAAGCTGAGTGAATGAGGACCTCAGAACAGATAATAAACAGGGGGAGGAGTCAGACTGAAGCCTTGATTTCTAACTGTTCACTGTGGATAGTGTCTTTGTGCTTCTAGCATTTTTGTTCAGATGTAATCACTAAGAGACAGATCACGTGTGTGCATATTACATTACTTTTAAGAAAAGTGCTTTGTGTAATATGTGTTTGCATTCGCTAACAGTATTTCCCACACTGAGCCCAACAAAGAGGGGAAGTACCTCCATCATGCACAAACATTTGACCACACAACATGCAGTTAATCTGCACGTATATATTTACTTCGATATGCTGTTTAGCAATGGTGGCAACTTTCAAAGCGGAGCCAGTGAGAACTGATAAGAGGACCTAAAAGGAAATGAATCCATGAGTGATATCGATAATGGAATCGGAGTCGCGAAATTTTTTACTTTTTTTTAAAGACTAGGCTTAAAAAAGTTTTGGCCAGTTGATGTGGCCATAGTCTCAGACGGCACTGAGCATTTTGTCACTCGCTTCTTTTCTCTCTCCTTGTTTTCATCCACAATGATCGCACTTAAACTTTAGTAACTGCTAAACTCTACCCTTTTTCGCCCTCTTTCCTTCCTGTCACTGGCTGAGCTTTATTAGGCGTCTGGTCTGATCCATCTGATCAGTTTGTTGGTGGGATTTTCTCTGTTTTTGAGTGAATTCCTCTGTCAGAAGCAGTGAAAAATCTCAAAAGTCCCTTTGGGATTTTTGATGGGCTTAAGGTCCATCAAATTGGTGCAGTTTCAATTTAGATTATTTGCTTGAAAAAAACAGTTCAGACCTGTGTGGATTGGGTAGGTGTGAGCCACAGTTTAAACCTCTGTACTTTATAGTGTCGACAGAACCATTACCACTGAAAGACAGAGACTGTTACAGTTACATTTGTTGCAACACAAACATTTCTTCAAATACACTGCTCAAAAAATTAATGTAACATTTTTAAATATATTTAGTATAGCATGACGTGAGTTAAGTAGCAGAGGGGTTGTTTGTTTGGTTCTTTGGTGTTAATTAAATTAACAACACTTAGAGGGGTAACAAGCATTTGTTTTGGATCAGTGTCACCACTGAGGTGATACATGGACCCCACAGAGGTAGTCCAGCTCCTCCAGGTTTGCACTTGAAAATGTGTCATTTCCTGAAGGTTTGCTGTGTCTCTCAGAGGAAGCCTAATTGCACGACTACGGAAACAGCTCCTTTCACTTCTGAGCGTCTTCCTTACCAGCGCGAGGTCGATCTCCCACAGAATCGACAGACTGAAGCTACTAATTGTGGAGCTATGCTACACTCTCTCTGGACTTGGCTGCTCAGCTAGCTGACCACATCATAACAAAGAGGTGCATGAACAGTAGGATCACACTCATGCTTCCTGGACTGGGAAATGCATGTGCAGACCCTTCTACATGGCCAGAGTGATCATCACTGCAGTGAACATACCACCTGGTGTTAATGTTAACACGGTGCTCTTCCAGCTGTACAATATAATACACAAACAGCTGCAGGCCCATCCTGAGGGAGCTTTTTGGGGACTTCAACAAGGCTTGTCTTCAGTCTGTACTCCCTAACTTTGTACAGTACATACAGTGCTTCATCAGAAGGACGAATAAATGAGATCACTGTATTTAAGCAAGTCTTCAGGACTCTACCCCTCTCTAATCTGGAACTGTCAGATCACTTATCAATACTTCTGATACCAGCATACATGTGCAGGTATCAGGAAAAGATCCAAACCTCCCATTAAAGACATTAAAACCTGTCCTGAGGGAGTTCTCTTCTGACTGTAAGATTTCTTAGACAGCAGTGAGTGGAGCGTTTTCATCATGACCTTCAGGAGTACACAGAGACAGAGCTGCACTGACAATGTAACAGTGGGCAAAAGTACTCGGGTCAATACAAACCAAAAACCTTGAATGACCTCCGATGACGAAATGGAACTCAGGCTGCAAGTCAGGGGACAAAGCTCAATACAGTGTAGCAAGGGCAGAGCAGTGGAGAGCCATCAAGGGTGCAAAAGAGGCTCACAAAACGAAACTGGAAGGGTTGTGGATGCTCTGTAGTGGGAGGGACTACAGACTATCACCAACTACAGAGGGTCCACACCCGTCACCACCCCGCTGACACCACGCTGGCAGAAGAATTACGCCCCGTTTCCATTAGTACCTACTCGGGTCGGCGTGCCATAGTTCTCAGCGTTTTCCATTAGGATATAGTAGCTGGTACTTTTTTCGTATCTGCTCGCCCGGGTTCCAAGTGATCCGAGGCGAATCTGAAAATGTGACATCAACAGACTTCATCCTAGTGATTGGATAGTTAGTGGCATCACTCGGTGAGTCATGAGAACGTCTCCTTCACGAAAATCAAAAGTGCCAGTTTTGAAACCCGGTAATGAGGGAACTGGCTATAAAACACAACGCCGTGGTGACACAGAGTCACAGACCGGGCAGCAGCCATATTGTGGCTCGATGTCCACCTTTGTTGTGGCATTCGTGTTGCATCATACTATTTCTGTAATTCAATTGTAATGGAAAACGAGGTGAGTTGTGCCACGTCGAGCCGATCCGAGTAGATAGTAATACTAAAAGTGCTTTAACTTCTCTTGCTGAAGAGCCCGGACACAGCTGAGCTGCCTCCTGATTCCACCAGCGCTGCTCTTGTCTTCCAGGAACACCCGGTGAGATAGGTGGTGAAAGCTGTGAACATCAGGAAAACTCCTGGCCCACATAGAGTACTTGATAAAGTACTTTGTGCCTGACCAGGAGTTTCAACCTCACTGTCACAATGAGGTTGCCTGAAGACAGCAACCATCACTCTTGTGGCAAAGTTATCTGCCCCAAAGTGTTTCAACAACTACAATCCTGTTGCCTTAATGTCAGCAGTCATGAGATGCTTCGAGAGGCATATCCTGCAGCGCATAAAGGCCTGACTCCCACAGAACCTGGACACTCATCAGCGTCCAGGTCGCCTGCAGGGCACGCAGATGTCCAGAGGACCGCACTGCCACAGCATTCTGTCACCTCGAGCAACCTGAAAACTATCAGGATGCTGTTCATAGATTACAGACGACAGTGTTCAGTACCATCATTCCTGGAGTACGGGTTGAGATGCTCATTAAGACTGGTTTATCCCTCTCCCTATCCCTATCTGTGTGCCTGGATCAGGGATTATTTGTCCTAGTGGCCTCAGGCAGTTGAAATGGGCACTGCCTGCTCCTCCTCCCTGACCCTCAGCACGAGCTCCCCCCAATCACTGAATAAACTAATCACACTACAGTCACTCCTGCCTGTACGGGAACTGTGTACAGGGAGGAGGATAAAACACTGACAGGATGGTTACCTGAACACAACCTTTGGCTCAGCACCATCAAAACTAAGAGGAGATGAGTCCACTGTCAGAGGCCATAAGAAGATCATTTGTAACCTTCACTAAAGCTGTTTCTGTGCTGTGATGAGCTCTGAAACCTGACTGAAACTCTTCAAATAAACCTCTGCAGATGATCTGTTAGCTGTTTGACAACTACTCTTTCAAGGATGATATGAAAGGAAGGAGACTGGTGATGCTTTTTGAGTAAAGGTTTAACTACAGCCAGCTTGAAGGCCTGTGGTACATAGCCGATCATTAGAGATAGGTTGATCATATTTAAGATCGAAGCATTAATTAATGGCAGGACTTCTTTGAGCAGTTTTGTAGGAATGGGGTCTAAAAGACACGTTGATGGTTTGGAGGAAGTAATTATTGAAGTTAACTCAGAAAGATCAATTGGAGAAAAAGAGTCTAACTTATTAACATCAGTGGTACTAAGAGTAGCTGTAGATAATATTACATCTGTTGTGAAATACTGTTAATAAATTAATAAATACTGTTGTGAGTTGCTGCAACCAACTTTTGGCTGAATGGACTAACCTGGCACATCATTTTTTCACATTGCTTTTCAGGGTGCCTTTGAATTGAGTAGTTATCTGTAGGTTGGTAATTAAATCAAATAAACTTCACCCAGTTCATATCAGTGTATATATCAACCATTATTCTTTATTTTTGAGCAGTGTGTTTACACTTTCTGCTTAGAAATGACATGTAAGTTAAATAAAATACAAATTTAATGGTGAGAAAAACACGGAACA